ATCATGTTGAATCGAAACTTTGACATTCGTAGAAACAACCTGACAATTAACTAAGTAATTAATTTACACATTTTGTCCATTTACTTGAAAACACACGTTTTAACATTAAATTCAATATTTGTAATTTGACTATTTGTATTTAGAATAGCTAATTAGCATGAATTTATGTCTACCGGGTAAAAGTAGCTGATCAAGTGGTGAATAATGAGAAAAAAAGTTTTGCTTAAAATCAACAAAGAAATTTAGAAAAAAAAAAAAATTTAAAGATTCTCATATTACGTACTTTTTCATTTCACTTCAGACTAAATTTATCTTTACCAACAGATTCATACAACTTCCGACTTCATAACAAAATTCATCTTTTATAAAAAATAGGTCAATTTGGCTCAACAATAGCAATAAAAAGTTTTCTTTGCATATTTCAACCTACTTTTCTGAAAATTCAAAATACTAGAAAAAAGTGTATCATGAGATTAATTATTTTTTTCTATTTGAGATAATCATCATTGATTATGCACATAGGAGTGATCTTTTTATCACATAAAAAATGAAAGGTAAATCAATAAAGCATAAGTTGATTATATTTCTCGGAAGTGAAAAAAAAATATTGAAAAAAAAAAAAATTCTTCCCTTCTGAATCCTTTCTGAGCATAGAATTGTAGTATTCATTTCTATACCTTCATTTCTTTTCATTACTGAAAAGCGGAAGTGCACAATAGCCAACAAGGGCAATCAAATCCCGATAGACTTTCTGCTACTAACAACGTGAATTGATCATAAAGGAAGACAGTGAAAATTTGATTTTAATGTAAAAGCAAAAATAAAAAATCAGGAAATGAGTCAAAAGTTAAAATTGAGAATAATGATAGTAATAGAGATGAATGTGAAAGAATAGATCTGGATAATTTTGTCATCTTTTAGCTTTTTTGTTTATAACAAATTGAAATTAGCAATTATATTGTATTAATATTGACCTTATTTTTGAATCTTTTAATATATTTTTAAATGTCTCAAAATGTAAAGATATAATAAAATTACGAATTTTCAAAATCGATTACAATTGCAAGAGCTTTCTAATGGGAAATTGAAAATTCGTATTTTACAATTTTCAAAAGGTAATCGAGTGGAAGATATATTTGTATCAATAACTTTGATTATTCTAGTCAACATTTCAGTACCTTCCTAGTCTTGTTTGCATAAACATTCATCAACTAATAATCATAGATCCGAGATATAATGCGTTTATTGAAGTGAAAGAGAATAAAGGTTTCACCAGGTATTATTTGCAATGATTATATTATACACTGCTCAAGTAATTCTATATTCATTGAGTTGTTTCATGGAGTGATCATTAAATAGTAATAAACATTGGAATCATCAACAAAGTACCAATAGAGTTTAATTAAAGTTTTTATCAAAGGATCAAATGACACAAAAAAAAAGCTTCGGGGCTTCCTATTATTTATTTATCTGTTTATTTAAACGAAAAAATGGTGCAGTAAGTAAACTAATTTGTTTGAATAAAAATAGTCTCGAATGTTCTTTTACAAGTTTTATCAGTCACCCAAGGGAAAAATTTATTCAAGATTTTTAAAAGTGATTGTTCTTTTGAGATAATTAATCATAAACTTCTTAATGTTGTTATTTGATAACTTAATAAATAAATCTTATTTTATGCTTCAAGGAAAAAAATATTGTCTAAAATTGTTTAAAAAAATTTTTAAAGATCAAAAATCCCGAGAATTAAAAGAAAAAAATTGTGAAAAATATTTAGAATAAAAGGGAGATTAGTAAAAAAAATAAATGAATAAAAATATCTCTGGCTTTTTTTATAGAAATAACAATGTAATCAATCACTCTGAAACATTTCACATTTTTTTTATTCTTTCAAGTAGTCGTACAAAATTTCTGCAACAAGATTGTCAAAAAAATGGATCCAAAACTGGTGTTATCTCGAAATAGTACTCCAGAGTTGATTGTGATATAAAAAAAAACAGTTGCATTGATTGACATGAAATAGTAACAGTATATTTAGAAACAAACTCTTTGACACCTGATTCACATCAAATAGTCCATTTTTATTTCAGCAGGTTGTTATACCAATGCAGGTAAATTTTCCAACTCAATAAAATAATGATGCAATAATTTATACTTATGAGGTGAATCACAGATGATCTAGTATATATGAAATAAAAAAAAAAAGAAACATTATGACTACGTCAGTGAATTTCTAAAGTGGCCAATTTGTATTTTCCTGAGAACCACCCCTGCTATTTGTTTCCATCGCACGCGCTATTTTCCAACTTTGTTGATTACCCTTCATGACTCTCACTACTTTTTCTTTCTTATGTTTTATTCGCATTTTCCTTCAACCTTCCTCAATAATTTCAAACCCTCATTATCTGTAATTTTTACTATCAATTTTTTTCTTCTAACTTTTCATTGTTAATACGTTCGTTGCTTTTATAAAAAAGGTTCTAGAAAATTACCTGTTAAGTAAAGAGTTTTTGCGTGAGGAAATATTTTTTTTTTCAATTAATAATAATGTAAAGGAAATAAAGTATTTTACAAATATTATAAATAATTTTGATTTTCTTTGAGATAAAAATAAGTGAAAAATTTTATACAGATTTGAAGCTAATTTTTATATTTATTTATTTATGTATTATATTAAATATTTCGTGATTAAAATAATTAAATAATTCTAACAGAGTCAGAATACAAAACCTAGATTCTCTCTTTTTACACTATTTTCTTTTTTTTTTAGCCTAGATTCAACCTTTTGAACCTACTATTACTCTGTTTCACTTCCCAAGTAGATAAAAATTAATACCGTTTTTATTGATAAATAAAATTACTCAAATAATTAAATGTTTAATCATAATCCTTACTAAGGATTTGTTTAATATTTAATTAAACTTTTAAAAAGGATAAAAATCGGTATTATATTTTGGCTCGAATCTAGATATTCTAAATCTTATTTTCCTAATATATTTTTAATTCATTAATTTTTATAATAAGAATTGTTTAACGTAAGATGATTAATGGTAAAATTTTATTTAATATCTGTTATGAACAATAGCTATTAGTAATTCTATTGGAAATGGTAAAAAAAATAAAATAAATTTTGATCATAAAATCTCTTGTAAAAATATTCCTCTATTATTTAATGCACTATTGATCGTTTAAACTGCTTAATATATGCCGCTGTTTATACGAGAACACGGAAAATGCACTAGTGAATTAGATTAACGTTTACGCGATGTGAAAATACCACTCGAATGGCGGCACGTCCTGACGGATTTGTTTTCTTGGGATGTGAAGCTGAAACATAGGAAACTCGATCTCACGTCAATTGCAATAACATTGAAAAATATCTTCTAACATTATCATATATATTTTCTATGTCTAAATTATCGATAATATATTGGAAATATTTTTATGATTTGTGTTTAGCAGATATTGTATAACATCAGGTCAATTTCGATTTTATCCCTAAAATTATATTAGGGACTCGGAAAACAGTAAGGCGTAAATTTGAGGGATTATAAATACGTAAAAGTGTGGTGAAAAAGCAAGCCTGATGTTATTTTGTATTATATTATTTGATAGGAAGGGAAATTCACCAAAGGATAATGCTTGTGATGCTGTTAAAATAAATATGAATGTTGTCTGAGATGGTGTTTGAGGAGGTGGTTATTAAAATGTAAAAAAAATATTTATTCATCCTAAACTGAATACTTTTCTCTGTTCATTCTACAGGATTATGAATTATTTATTTATTTAGCAACAGAATAGATCCTAAAGTAAATAATTAAGGGCGTTATAAATAACTCAGAAGCAGTAAAAAAAATAACGAAAATCAAATTTAATAAAATGAAATTAAATTTAAGATAAAAAATCTGAGAAAATTAAAGAATCAAATGTTTGTTAATTAAAAAATGCCAATAAAAAATTAAAACAAAACTACAACTAATCTCTCAAAATTTCAATATATTTTTGGACATTTATTTTTTTCAGTGGTTTATTAAATCACACTATTAGCATTTTTAATTATAAAAAGAGAATTTAATTTAATACATATGTATATTTTTCTTCAGTGTTGTAATAGTTAATTAAAATATGTAAATTGAACTCAAGTTCAATTACAACAGTCGAACAATATATCAAACACATGCACATTATGACAACCAAGAAAAAACTTGAAATTAAATTATCCCAAACTTTTGAACACATATTTTGTTATTTAAAATTCTGTGATTTAAAAGAAGCAAAATATTAATGGTGTTACATTTATTTTTGATATATTATGTCAAAAAAAACCGAGAAAATTTCCAAACGTCATGTTCATAACTTCTAGCTATTTGACTGGTTTTCATATGTCCATTGAATCAACCATCAAAAAATACGTGAGTTGTAACATGATCCTGATATTCAAATGAAACTAACTTTATTGAAAACATGTCAAACAGTTCAATCAAAGCCAAATTTTTGTAATGTTGTTACTTTTAAATAATTTAATATATTCAATAATCACTTTTATTATCATGAGCTCACTGTTAGCAGCATCATATGTCAACTTAAAAACATATTGTCTATTTAATGTTGTGTATTTGAAACATCTTACATCCTTTTAACTTGACAGTTCAATTTACATCCTATTTTGTAATATCTTTGCTTCAATGCTTTTTAAAATAATGTAATAATAATAATAATGTAAAAATAAATAAAAAAATTCCTAGCTTATGCATTTAAGTAAGCTCTTTTGCAAGCTAAAATCTTAGATATTTAATTATTAAACACGTTAAGCGTTTTATTACTAAACACTTGAATTTTTCTGGATGTACAATGATTAATTCTACCACTTTATCTCATTTGCATTCCATTTTTGTATCAAACTTATTTTCTACCATTGATAAAAATTTAGCTAAACTGAGGGTAAATTTCGTAATTACATCTAAATTCCTTGGTCGGTGGTGCTGACGTATTAAACAACTTACCTCTAACAAGCGTTAGGATGCCTAGAGGCATCACGAGAATAGCGACCATGAGATCTGTAACCGCAAGACTCATGAGAAAGTAGTTGGTGACATTTTGAAGTCTCCTTTCCCACGTTATCGCTAGACACACAAGTATGTTACCGCCTGCTGTGACAACAACTAAAACAACAGCTAACATTGCCCACCAGTTGTTAAGTCCATGGTCTTCATAGTTTGTCATTAAGTCGCGCGCACTTGATGTTGTATTATAATCACTCTCATTCAATATTCTTGTCACGGTATCACGCACTTTATCACTAGTCGAGTTGACACTGACCTCATCATCGAACAAAAGCAGCAAATCCACCGGATCGATGGTCGCAAGGGTCGCTATGGAAAAAGAACTTGAAGAGGTTGTTCGTTCACTTGTCGTATCCGTGATTGGCCGGATGTGGATCGGCCCAGATTGGCGAGTCATCCTGAGGGATAAACACCCTCGAGCTTGACCTCAGACACTCAGTCGTTGTTCATCTAAAAAAATAAGTTATAAATGATGATGATGATGATAAAGTTGAAAATACATTGAGGGGAAAAAAAGAGAAAATATTTATTATGTTTTATTCACCATGAGTTTCAATGTACGTGTTTGAAACGTTCAATATGTAATTACGACATTTAGTTATGCGCATAGTTTTTAGCTTTCCTTTTCTCTTTTTAATAATGTATGGAGCTTTCTTTTATTAGCATGTTCGAGAAAAAAAAAATAGATTTTGTTTTCCCTGCATCCAAATAGCAAAAGCCTAACAGTTGATCCTTATTAACTCCAATCTCATGTTTAATTACTTAAAAATTAAAAAAAAAAATTTCTATCATTCTACTTACAATAGAATAATATTTTCCACTAAATTAAACTGAAACAACGAGAATGTCAAACTTCACTTGTAACGTGAATAAAAATTCCATTATCGAAATGAAGTTTTTTATATTAGACAAAAAAAATTGAGAATAACTACATGGAAATTTTTTTAAGGCGAATGAAAATTAGGTAATTATTTAGAAATGGAGCTCTAGACCAAAATCGTTTTAAAAATTTTTTATCTAGTGCAGACTATTTTTTAGCGTAGAAGTAAGTATTTTAAAGTGAGGGAAAGTCTTATTTTTATTTTTCAGAATAGTAATAAAGTTGTGTGTGTGTGTGTATGGGAGGGAGATTTTGACAAACTTTTAAAATCTTTCCCAACTGCCTTGAACCCCATTGTTATAAAAAAATATATCTATATTTTGTCAAAAATGATTTTACAACCCCCATAAATGATTCTAAATGTCTTCAAAAAAATTTTTAAAGTAATTTGGATCAAGACTTTCGGAAAATATTTAGAATGTCACCCTTGTAGAAGGGTAGAGTTGCAGGAGATGACAAAAGAGGGTTTCTAAGAGCTGTTCTTGTTGAAATTTATTAGCGATCAACCTTGAAAAAAATTACATTTAAGGGTTGAACTATAACAGAGGTGGGTGCTTTAAGGAAAAAGTAATATTATCGTTATGTGGAATTTTTTTTAAATTTAATTAACACAATTTAAAACACTTTAAGTGCACCGAAATAAACCACGACGATTTGCAGTATAATCAATAACCAAGCTGGATAATGCTGTTTTTTTTTTGGAATACATCTTAATAATAAATGACTCAGGATTAATCTGTTTACGAGATAATTAAGTCAAGTGAGAGATTTTTTGAACACATCGGGGTAGATGAAAAATCTATTATTAAGGCTGTTGTGAATAATAATCCACAATTCACTCCAACAAATCATCCATTTAACTCATTTTTTTTTAGAATTGATTAATGTTAATATAATAAATTGATAGATATTTGATGCGTCATTTATTCTCCCTCGCGATAAATAATAGTTTTCTTTTGACATTAAATCAATTTTTTTCTTCATTTCTTTTTTATAGATTAAATTAACCTTTTTATAGTTGATGATTCATCAATAATCTATTTTGACAATTCTATTACTCTCACTGTTATTATTTCACAGTTGCAGATAGTGAAATATTATCAATATTTTTATGACCATTTTTGTTTATTATTTTTTGAACAAACAGGTCGAGTGGGAATTAAGCAACGTAAGTTATGTTAATGTTGAACCTTTTTTTAGTAAAGTAATAAAGACGCATTTGCGAATGAGAAAATGTGAACATTTAATTGTGTGTAGGTAAAAATAATTTCCTTGAAGTTAAAGGCTAAAGTTACGCATTTAATTAAAAAAATTTATCCAGACTTTAAACAAGTGTGAAACTTATTAAAATCATAATTTAAATTTCTTTTAGTTTATTTTGTTAATAAACTGTTTAATAAAAAAATCTAAATGATGGAGGACTAAAATTATACATTTCTACTTATAATAAATAAAAGTTAAAAAAAAAAATTCGTGGTAATTTTATGATGTTTTAATAATAATAAAAAAATAATTAGCACAAATAAATTCTGTAGGTAATTGATTAGATTTTTATTTTTTTATTTTTAAAAAAAAAGTGATTAATTCGAATAAAAAATATTTTATTATCTAATTAAGTAGATTGAAAAAAAAATTGTCATACTATCGCAATCGTAGTAATTTATAACTCAATTTAATCTTCTGATATTGAATAAAAATTTAATCATTATTAATTCCATAATACTTCAAAGCAAAAAAATTTTTTTATTTAAGTTGTAATAAAAATCAATAAAAAAATAGTAACTTTCAACTCCCATAGACGGAAAAAATATGCCACAAATAAAAGTCTTATTTTGGTCATAAAATAAATCATATCGATAAAAATCGATAATAAAGAAGAATAATATGATGGATAAAATGATTTAAAATTTTATATGCTTTTTTTTATAAACATCGTAGACGATTTCTAAGAATGAAAAATGCAGATAAAAGAATGAAGCATTGCCCTGAAGCCTTCACAACTTTTTTTCTTTCCACTCTCATGCTATTTCACGTGACCCACTACCACACACACCTTCTGACCTTCCGGCAACATCAAAGCTTTCAACTCGTGCCTGGTGGGAGAAAGCAAAGATAATCTAAGTGTTGAAATTGAACTCAGAAACAGGACAATATTTTTCATATGCTTATTAAATTTATATTTGTCATTTCACATTTTAATTGATCTTGTCATCTGTATAAAATAAATATAAAAATGACATTTTATTCGAGGAAATGATAAATTTTAAAATTAATCAACGAATGAATGAATAAATGATATACTAGTAAATAAAAAAAAAGTTACATTCAAATTAAAAAGATATTTGGTGTATTTTTGTTCTTTTAGTTTCATTTATATTACATTTTTTTCCAGTTTATTCGGTTCAGTGCAAATTCCACGAGTGTGATTGGATCCTAGAGGAATTGAATCCCGGAATATTTCACAAACAATCTGAGCTTTTGGTATTCAAAAGTAGTCACTTTAACAGGAAGTAAATTTAAACTTTGTAAAATGTATTATATTAACACAAGTTTAGAGTATTTAACACCAAGTGATTGATTGTTGTAACATTTTGTGCATCTACATTTACACTCTATTGAAAATAAATGTGCTTACGAATTTACTGAATTATCACCAAGGAAACCAAGTTTTATTATTTACTAATAAGAATAAAAATTATACACGATTAAATTTTTCTTTACATTGAAATCATTCGTGCTGTATACGTTTATATTTAAAATGTAATGAGAAGTAATGAGACTGCAAAAATTGTCAATAATAATTATGCAGTGTATTGTAAATTATTGATTCAAATATGCTTCATTATTACGATCACTATCATTGTAATTAATCACAGAAAAATTTACAAATAGGAATCAATAATTATTATCAAACGATAACAATAAATATATCATGTATAGTCTTGTGTTGATATTTAAAGAATACAATTTTTTTTTTTTTAATTTACAGTATTTTTAAATATACTTCTACCAACAGTATTTATTTGTAACAAATTTATTTACATTTCTTGCGAATATTTGCTGCAGAGAGTAATTTTTTCATCAACTAGAGAAAAAATATCTTACTTCATAAAAGATTATACTCTAGATAATAAAAATGGATAATAAAAAAATATGAGAAAATTTTTTGCTTTCATCGACTGCAGGAAGATTTAATTTTGTGAATAAATTTTTGCCAAACTCTGACGTGTTTATTATGTAGGACTTTGAAATATCTCCAGGATATTTGAAGATATACATTACTGTCAAATAGTTTGGAAGCACCGAGAATATTTAATTCATACTGCAGAATGGTTACTTGTTCAGAGAAATAATTTATGATTCATAATAGAACAATATTTAAACAACAGAATAAAACATCATTCTTTAAACAATATAGTTATGTAGAAATCATTTAAAAAAGTACTTTGAAAGTTTTTGATGCTAGTGTAGATTATTCGTAATGATTCTCAGTGAAGTGATATTGAAGATAGAAAAATCATGATAATACAATGAAATAAAAAAAGTATACGAAAAAATAAAAGACTCAGTTTCCTTATTTAATTTTTTTATGCAGTATTTCCTCTCACTGCTGTCATTTTATTGATTATTAAATTTCAGATTTAAATATTCAATTCATATAGTCAGGTCTAACAACCTGAATGATTTAATCTAATAATTTTTTTTGGAGCAGAAAAATTTGAAATGTTTGAAAAAAAATAAAAATTGTAGATGATGAAACAGATGATATCTTTCTAGTCAAAATTGATTAACTGAAAGAGTTTTTATAATTCTAGATTATATTAATATTCTTTTCTATTATATTTCAGTTCATCATGACCACGTGCTTCAATTATCATCTCTTCAATGAATAACAATACTCCTCAAACAAAAAAAAAAAAAAAAACAAAAGGTTTATTTTTATATTCACAAGAATTTCCTGAATCTATTTAATACCATTCATTATCAATCATCATTAAATGAAGAATAATCTGGTTATTTTTATCATTTATTTCATTTTTTTTTTTAGGAAATCTATAACATGTCTTGATGAACAATGTTCCATTGCAGTGAGTTACAAACAAGCAGAATAAAAAGAAGAAAAGTAATAAGTAGTTAAAGTAGGGTAAAGTTGTTATCACAAAAAATCGAACGAAAAGTCGTAAAAAGAGCAACGTGGCTACTTCTTCATCACCATCACGTGATGTTGTTGTATTGTCATATATTTATTATATAGAACAAATGCTAAATATTCTTTTAATATCATTTATTATCTAGAAAGCTAATAAATTGAATTATTTATCCATCATTATATCAATTTATGACTATTTAACTTAGTAATGAATCACTTCTAGATAAAAATCACTTTCGTTGATTTTCATCTAGATATAATTTTTGTCATTTATCAATTCATTAAGCAAATTATTTTTAATGAACAAAAATATTGATGAACAATTTTTAAATATATTTTAAATAAATTCATTATAATATTATTTAAATATATTTTTTTATTATCAATAAAATATTAACTATTTTTCAACATTTTCTAAGT